TGCAAGCACCTCCCTTGGGCCAAATTACCCCATAACTCTTAAGAGGCATAGTATTTTTCAACATTATCCCACAGTGACAGAGACATCTAAATATAAGGAAGATGGGAGAAAACTGAAAAACAGTCCTACAAGTACCTTCAGCTCCTTAAAATTGTGTTTTCACACATGAGGATGAATACTAATAGACAGGAAACTTTCAATATTTTGCCATGCTGGTTGGAAATGCTGGGAATTGCAATTTAATGCACCCAGCTTGTACCAGGCTGGTCAAAAACTGGTATAAATCTTTCTTTGGGTTCTGTTATGGACGTATGATACATTTACCATGGAAAGCATATTGGATGAGGGATGTCATGGCTAAAGAGTGTTGTCTAGGCACAAAGTGGCCCCTTACTTATGAGGAACTATTGTGAGGCTCTCTGGGAAATAAAGCACGGTGAGATTAGAAGGTGGACATGGGAGGTTTATGGATCCAAACTAGCACTGGCAGCTGCCTCCATTGTCCTGACAAACTTATCCTTTTTCTCCTTATTAGGCTGATTGCCATCAGAAATATCAGAGGGGAGGAGTAAATACTCCTACTGTAGTTGTGCCCACAAGTTGTCTCTCCTGATTTACTGGCCAGCTCCTCTGGCTCCCCAGCAGGCTTTCTGGGACAGTGGTTAGAGAACTCCTCTAGTCTAAAAGAAGCTCATGCTGCCTAGTTTTGCGTAGCACTCCTAACTGCCTAAAATGTTCTCCAATGAGCTGCAGGAGGGGACCAGACCCACTGCAGTGATAGTTGTGTCCAACAATTTTTAAAGAGGAAAACCCAGAGGAGTGGCAACAGAAGACAGGGGCCAGGATCTATGGGGAGTGCTTGCCTGAACTAGCCAATATATGTTAAGCTGACCATATGGCTCATCTGGCTGCACCTCTGGGGAAAAAAAGGTTGGCAAAGACCATTGGAATTTGCATGTCTTAAAATTGCCATGGGCTGCTGCCAGTTGCAGCAGGAAAACACTACACTCCAACCAGACCATCTACAGTTTAAGACTGATTCACTCATGAACGGGAGATGAAGACAACATCACGAAGGCTACAGCTGAATTAAGGAGGTTGCTAGGATGTGTTTGTACTGTGTTTGGAGGCATGATGAGAAAGGCCTTTCCTCGGTATTCTTAAAGTGTTCTCTTTCTATTCTTGAATCAACAGAGGCTGCCTCCATAGGCCTAACAAAATCACCTCATTTCTTTTTCTTAGGCTATTAAAAAATGGCCAGTTAGGAAACACCTGAATGAATGAGGAAAAACCTTGGGCCCCCTCTTGCCAGGTGCATGTAATGCTGGGGTCTGCCTGGCTGAAGAGAAGCTGGCCCAGAGAATTTGGCCTTTTCCAATATGTTGAGTTAAAGTGCTTCTCATTAGAATCAGCAATGAATTATTGGCTTGAAATGCATGGTTCCTCCCCCTCAAATATCTACCCAGTCTCTACTTCTGGTTACTGCCAACAACCTGATTTCCCTCCGAGGGTAAAGGATGATGAAGCCTAACAGTTTATAATCCTTGAGATTGCCCATGGATGAATATGTGTGTTAAATCTGGTAGATCGGTTCTGGGTAGATCGGGTCACATTGAGAGGTGAGACTCAACAGTGTACATTCAGCTCTTTATTGCATGTATAGAACAGGTCAAGACCTGCGAGCCGCTTGGCTTTATACAGCCGGCCAGCGGCTCGGCGGCCAATGGCAGCGCTTCGAATCTCCCGCAATTGGCTCGGCCAATCGCGGTAGGTTCTTAGCGCACCAATCACAGAAGTTCAGTTAGCCAATCACGTCGTGGTCCGTGTGGACCAATCAGAATGCGAGGTTACAAGAATGTTAATATAGAGCACCCCTCCCCTCATGGTTTCGTCCGACATAGCATGGTGATGTAGTCGCACAGGTAGGTGGGGCTCCGTACCTGCCTAGTTGACTTGCGTGGCTCAGTCTGTGTGCGATCGTTGGCCGATTCGGCCGGGCTCCATGTCGCTCTCAAACCCTTCGATGGAATCGCCTGGAAGGGTGAGCCGGGCCTGTTGCTGCAGCTCCCGCCCAGTCTACCTGGGTCGGTCGAGCTGCAGTCCCTGCTGTTCCCACCTGGTCTTTCCGGGCTGGTTGAGCTGGCTTGGCTGTTCCTTCCAGGTGAAGCTCCCATCTGCAACAGCTCGAGGTCTGCTGGTAAGTATGGCTGGTTTATTTGGGGGTTGCTTTCTCTAGGTGGGGGGTGTTCAGCTTGCGTTTGGGGGTGTTCTGCTAGCGTTTCCGGCCTTTTGTTGTCCCCCTGCTTGGTTGTTGTGGTTTCCCCCCCCTGCTTTCTGTGGTTGTTGTTGTCGGGGTGTCAGGGCTGTTGGCGGCTAGCCTGGACCGTAGCTGGTCGATGTGCTGCTTCCAGCTTCTTCCATCAGTGGTCTGGAGTCTGTATGACTGGGGACTGGTTACTTGTGTTATTTGCACCGGTACCCAGAGTGGGTCTCCCGTGAAGTTCTTTGCGTAGACCGTGTCCCCGATGTTGAATGCCCAGTGCCTGCTGGAGGAATCTGGGCGTTTCTCCGGGTTGTAGGTAGGGTGTAGTCGGTCCAGAGGGGACCTCAATTTCCTGCCCATCAGTAGTTCTGCTGGGCTTTTATTTGTGGTCGTGTTGGGCGTAATATGCTGTATGAGTAGCATTCTGTTTATTTTTTCCTGAATGTCTCCGGTTTCAATTTTCTGAATGGTTTTCTTCGTGTATTGAACCATCCGTTCCGCCCGTCCATTCGCCACCGGGTGAGCCGTCGAGGTTAAGGCATGTCTGATGCCCCGTTCGGCCAGGTATTTTTCAAATGCCAGTGCTGTGAACTCTGGGCCGTTGTCTGACACTAAGACATCTGGCAAACCGTCTGTCGCGAAAAGTCTGTTAAGTTTATCAACGACGGCTTCTGTTATTGCTGTCCTCATGGTGCTTACCTCTAGCCAGTTGGAGTAGGCATCCACGGTGATGAGGAATGTATGCCCCTTGTCTATATGTATATGTATATGTATATGTATTCGCGACCATGGTCCCCTGGGGGTTTCCCATTCCAGGACTGGAGCGGCGGGGGGTGGTGGACCTCGTTTCTTGGCATCTGTTGCACCTGGAGACCCATGTCTCGATTTGCTTGTCCATTCCTGGCCACCAAGCATAACTTCTGGCCAGGGCTTTCATCTTGACTATGCCCGGGTGCCCTTCGTGTAGCATTGCCAGTACTCTTTTCTGTAGTGTCTCTGGTATGACTACCCGGTCTCCCCAAAGTATGCATCCTTTCTGTGTGAACAGCTCGGTTTGCCGGTTCCTGAAGGCTTTGAACTGTTCGCTGCCATCGTTTTCCGGTCACCCCCTCTTTACCCAGCTCAATACCTGCGCCAGCCGCTTGTCTTTATTTGTTTCCCAGGCAATGTCTGGCGCGGTTAAGAGCGGGCTGGGTAAAGTCTCTATTTGCAGGGTTGTTGTTGTGGGCGCTGGGTCATCGTCCAGGTCTGGTAGGGGGGATCAGCTTAGCGCATCTGCATGCGTAATATTCTTGCCGGGTCGGTGTGACAGTTCGTATGAGTAGGCGGCAAGGAACTCGGGCCACCTCGTCATCTGGGGTGACAGGATGTTCGGGGTGGCCTTGTTCCCTGCCAGTATCCCAAGCAGGGGGTTGTGGTCTGTAATGATTGAAAAGGTCCTACCGTAAAGGTATTCGTGGAACCTTTTCACTCCGGAGATGATGGCGAGGGCTTCTTTGTCCAGCTGGCTGTAATTCCTCTCCGGTTTGGACAGCGTTCTCGAGAAGAAGGCGATGGGTGTTTCCTTCCCATCAGGTAGGGTGTGACTGAGGACTGCTCCGATGCCAAAGGGCGACGCGTCGCATGTCACCGTCAGCGGCAGGGTCTCACTATACTGGATCAGGACTGCGTCTGATGTTAGCAGGTTTTTTGTCTGTTGGAATGCAGTCTCCTCCCGCTTCCCCCAAGTCCAGGTGGCTGCTTTATCCAGTAGCCTGTGCAGGGGCTCCACCGCGGTCGCCTTTTTGGGTAGGAAAACATTGTAAAAGTTAAGCAGTCCCAAGAATGCCTGCAGTTCCACCTTGTTCGTTGGTGTGGGGGCTTCCTTAATGGCTCTGAGTTTCTTTCCGGTGGGGTGGATTCCGTGTCAGTCTAGGAGGTACCCCAGGAATTCGACCCTTTCGGTGTAGAGTTGGCATTTCCCTTTTTTGACTTTAAGGCTGGCGTCTTTGAATTTTTGCAGCACCGCCCTTAAACGGGTTTCCAATTGTTTCTTGTTGGCGGCTGCGACCAGCACATCATCAAAGTAGGGGACCACTCCTTTTATTCCCTGGAGGAGTCTTTCCATGAGGCTTTGGAAGACTCCTGGGGCAACGCTGACTCCGAATTGGAGTCGGTTGCATCGGAATGCCCCCCGGTGTGTGACAATCGTTTGTGCTTCGGCTGTCTCGGCATCGACTGACAGTTGCTGGTAGGCTTGCACCAGGTCGAGCTTTGCGAAGACCCGGCCTCCCCACAGTGAGTGCAGAAGGTGCTGTACTACTGGGACGGGGTAGGCGCTTTGCTGCAGCGCGTGGTTGAGGGTGGCCTTATAGTCACCGCAGATTCTTATGGAGCCATCTGGTTTGATGGGGGTGACTATGGGTGTTTCCCAGCGGGCATGGTCAATTGGCTCTAAAACCCCTTGCGCGATGAGCTTATCTAGTTGCTCGTCAATTTTGGGTTTGAGCGCAAAGGGTACTCGCCGCAGTTTGAGGCAGATCAGGGCGACGTTAGGGTTAAGGTTGAAGGAGATAGGGGCCCCTCGGTACTTGCCTAGGGTGTTGTCGAAGACCTCCTGGAAGTCCCTCACGAGGGTCGCTTCCCAGTCAGCCTCGTCTGTGTGGTGGATGCCCGTCACATCTATTCCCAGCGGGGAGAACCATTGCAGCCCGAGTAAGCTGGAGCGGTCTTTGTCTACGATCGTGAGTGGTAATACCTCGGTGTGGTCTTTGAACGTGACTTTAAAATGTCCGATGCCGGCTACGGGGATGCGGTTTCCCTGGTAGTCCTTCAGAGTTAGTTTTTGGTCGTCTAGCTCATGGCGGCGGATGGTTGGCACTAGGCGCTTGATTGTGCACCAAGAGACCATGGAGAGGTAGGACCCGGAGTCCACTTCCATCTCGCAGGGCTGGTCTTCGATGCCTACCTCCACGTGTACCTTTCGGGCGTCAATGGTCGATGAATGGCCGATGACGACTGTCTAGTGGGTTTCTTTGCGTCGCTGTGCTTCACTGAGTCGTCTGCTCTGGCCATCGCGGCTCCATTGGCTCTCAGCTTGGTGGTCTCGGTTTCTGGGCGGGGTGCTGTCTTGTCATCGGGGGCTGCTGCCTCATCGTTGGGGCTGTAGTTTTTCTTGTTCCGGCACACCTTGGCGATGTGCTCCCGCTTCTCGCAATGCCGGCAGATGGCATCAAGAAAACGGCATTCGGAGTGGGGTGGTCGCCGCTGCAGCCGGCACAATGGAATCCCGACTTACGTCCCCTCCGGTCCCGCCGATCGCGTTCAGCCTGGAGCTGGTGGATCTCCTCTTCCTCGTCGTCGGTGTCGGACTGGGGGTCGATGTCGCCGTGATGGGTGGTTGTTTCTCAGCGGCTGGCTTCTGCGGGTCTCACCATTGCTGGGGTTGCTTCATTGGTTGATGGCCGTTCCATTGCGTTCGCCTGCCTCATCCGGGCCGCCGATTTGCGGGTGGCCTCGGCTGCGGTTGCCTTGGGGAGGGCGTCGACGAGGGAGATGTTGCCTTTAGCCATCAGCCGGCTCTGCAGTACGGGGTCTCTGAGCCCGAGGACGACTCGGTCGCATAAAGCCTCGCCCAGTTCGGCAAACCCGCACAGGCCCCCTAGGTTCCTTAGTTGGGCCACAAAGTCGCCAACGGTTTCGCCCTCACGCTGATCTCACCGGTAGAAGTCATGCCTTTGGATGAGTATTGGCACGGCAGGGGCATAATGGTGGCGCAAGATGGGCTCAAGGTCAGCCCAGTCCATTTCCTTCACGTCGGCGGGCTTGGCCAGTGCTTTGGCCATCTTGAATACCGCGGGCCCACAGTGTGTCAAGAACACGGCCCGTTCTCTCTGCCCGTTGGCATCCTTGAGATTGCTGCACTCCAGGAACATCTGGAAGCGGTCGGTGTAAGATTCCCAGTCCTCGGTGGCTGGGTCAAATGGAGCGGGTGGTGGGGTGCTGCTGGCCATCTTGCTGGTCGTTTTGCGCCGTTTGCCACATGCTGGGTGGTTTGTCGCCACACGATCCCATCCTCATCGCCAGTGTTAAATCTGGTAGATCGGTTCTGGGTAGATCGGGTCGCATTGAGAGGCGAGACTCAACAGTGTACATTCAGCTCTTTATTGCATGTATAGAACATGTCAAGACCTGCGAGCCGCTTGGCTTTATACAGCTGGCCGGCGGCTCGGCGGCCAATGGCAGCGCTTCGAATCTCCCGTGATCAGCTTGGCCAATCGCGGTAGGTTCTTAGCGCACCAATCACAGGAGTTCAGTTAGCCAATCACGTCGTGGTCCGTGTGGACCAATCAGAATGCGAGGTTACAAGAATGTTAATATAGAGCAATGTGGGAAAAGGCTGCTTTAGAACCTCCTTTTAAAGTCAGTTTCTACCCTTAATAATGGCTTTTTGGTTTGGTTTTATTCATTCTCGGCATTCCGGGATTTTTTGGAGATTTCTTCAGCCAAGTGTTTGCCCCATATGATTACTATAGCTCCTAGAATTTCTTCCCAAAGAGGGGAAACTCTGTGATCAATAGCTGGAAAGTCGTCTTGAAGGAGAAAAGTTTGGGGAAACCTGCTGTAATTTAATAGTACAGATATTGCTAGGCATCCAAAAGAGCCAATAGTTTTGCTTTTGTTTTTGCTCTGAATTATATCTCTGGGGAGATTTTTGTTGTTCTTGTTCTGAAAATTACTAGCAGAGACCTGTTGGTATAATCTAATTAACAATGTCTGCTGTTGGCTAACTTCCTGCTTAATTTTCTCCAAAAGCAGCAGAGATGGCTACGCAAACATCTGCTTAACGATGCAATATTAATTTCTTCTCCCTTATCTTTTTCTCTCCAATCTTCTTCCCTCTCCTTTGCTCTGAACACCATTGTCTGACAAAGAATTCCTTAAAATTGGAAAGTCTGCAACCAGATGACATATGTGGTATATACAATAAATTCTGTACTACATTTTTAGAGATGAAAAGAAGCCATGCCTTTGCTGTTGTACCACTTGTACAGTCTTCTCATTCTCGACACATCTATTTATATGCTGCAAAGGTTTTGCTCTGCCTGTTGTCCATTAAAGCTACTAAGAACCAGCCCTACCATTTGGCAGAATGAGGAAAGTCTCAGGCAAGAGATAGACAGTTCCAAGAATAGCTCTATTTTGGAGAGTAAAATAATCATTTAAAATTAGTTTCCTGTTGTCAGTTGCTGTAGAGAATCTGTTCCCTCATCTTTGTCAAAGTACTGTACTTTTTCTACATGATAATGGGTGTGTGGGTGGATGGGGAGGTTTAATGACAAGCAATTCCAAATAAACAAATAGACCAGCCTCCTATTTAGGAATGTCTCTCTCAGTAAATAGACAGCTGAATCAACACTCTGAGCATGGACTTTTTTTTCCAGACAAATCAATAATCATTATATTGATTATATCCAATAATTCTTAAAATTGCCATATTATGTTTCTGCTATGGAATATGCCACAAGGAACAAATCACATCTACACTACGTAATGTGTAGTAGTGTGCACTATAGGTACTCCTCAATTTATAACCACAATTGAGCCCAAAACTAATGTTGCTAAGCAAAACATTTGTAAAGTGAGTTCTCCCCCATTTTACAACCTTTCTTGTCACAATTGTGGTGAATTATATTTTATTTTACATAGTTCCCCTAAAGTCATCTACAATAAGTTGCTAGAGAGGGTCACCTGGGTCAATTTTACTCAATTGTGTTATGGTAAATAACTGTTGGATGAATTGCTATGATAGCTGTTGCAGCCATTTTGTGAAGAGGTAACTGCCCCATGGTAGCCATTTTGTAACAAAAGTGCTTAATGATTAAAATTTCCAAAATGGCCTCTTGACCCTATTATTTACCTACATGTACCCTATTTCTTGGTTGCGGGTTATTACACATATTTTGACCTGATCTTAATCTTATCAGGCACAAAATAGGCTGCAGAGCTTTTGATAGACTATGGCTGTTTTTAAAGTCACTCCTTGATTGATGCTATCCCTGAAACAGCATAATAGGCACATGGTTTCTGCCTTACCCCTAGGTGTATTTTGGACTTGATGGAGCTGGAAATGAATGGGGGACTCTGTACAGTATTCTGCAATACTAGTTACATTTATGATCATTTCTTGCCAATCCCTTTGCAACGTTGCAGCTAAATGTATGGAATCCTTCGATGCAGCTGCACCTCCCAATTCTGGTGGATCTGGTTCAAAGATTGGTTATTTGTCAATGATAAGTAAAGTCTGAGAAATTGGTTATAGTATTATTGGTTATAGTATTATTGGTTATAGTATTATTGGTTATAGTATATAGTATTATTGGTTATAGTATTGGCCTGTGGGTTTTTTCAATCATGTCAGAAGCATATTTTTGCATGAATCAATAGGTTCATTGCTTGATTTAGATAGAATGGTGATGTTTTGTAATGGTAATGTTTTCTTCTTGTGGAATTAGTTATTGCATGTGGCTCAAAGTATCTAGAGATGTTACAAGCCTGAACTGGTCTGTGGTCCCCTCTGCTGGTTTGTCTAAGTTATTTGGCTGGTGCCTCTTGAAATAGGTTTGTAAAAGGCCAACTGTTCCCTGATGGCCTATCCTACTAGTGTAGAAAATATGTTCTGATTGTCTTATCTTATATATTTATATAGCTGCCTACACATTAACTTGTGGCAGCATGTAACATTAAAAATCTCAGTTAAAAATTCACAATTTAACTCTCCCCCTATTATTTTGTAATTATAAAATATTCCTTGATAACGTAAATTTTCGAGTTCATGTATAGTGTATTAGGTATGCAGAAATAACTGATAAAATGCCCAGAGGAGCTGACCTTTTTTAAAATGTGCTGTATTGTGCATTTCCACTAGAAGGCAGCCTATGTCAGCAGAAAAAGGAAGGGTGTGCTGTTGTAGAACTCCCAGCAGGGCCCCAATCACCTCCCTTCCACCTACCCCCCTCCTATCTCATTGATGCTGTTCTCTGCATCTCTTGTCCAGCTGCCATCTCTCTCCCCGTGGCCTTGTAAATCATAGCAGTCCAGTTGTCTACCAAGTATAAAATAATTCAATCTATAAGCACCCAGGAGCAAGAGGCAAGGAACCAGAAAGATCATGCAAGAGTGGGGAGGGGAAAGGGAGCTGTGGATGAGACAAGCAAGGTCTCGGCTCATGTCTAGGGAATTGAGAGAGAGGCAGAGAAAAGGATGGGCTGGGGAAGAAGGCTTTGTACTTGGGGGCGGGGTGGGGTGTTATCAAAAAGAGAAATGCACGTAGGAAACAGATCTGTAACTGAAGTAGAACTGCATTTTAAGATATATATTCATATATTTACATGGCTACCCATCTTAAAATACAAACCCTGGGTGGGTAGCTAACAATGAAAAGCAGAATAAAAACAATAATTAAAATTTTAAAAGACATAAAATGGCAGCTGAGAATACTAAGCATTCCCCAATCAATACAACCAAGAGTGTGGGGATGGGAAAATTGCATCAGTATTAATTATACAAAAGCTCTTCTACATGCTCTATTTTTTCTTAGGCCATCATCAATCTTTAGTGTGGTATCCCAGAATAGAGCTGTGACAGGATGTGTATTGTATCACTTCTGTAGAAAACTGGTTACCAGAGCTCATTATTCCCCAAAGTTAGGATCCACAAGTGACTCCTTCACTTGTTAAGTGAAGACACATGACAACATTCAGGAGAAGCCCTTGGAGAGATCCTCATCTTTCCGCTGCAATCAAATCAAGTGAGGTACAAGGGTAGCCAGACTCTGATTCCCCCAAACAGCAGGTAGCATGAGCTAATCAGGCAATGTGAAGACTTGGCATAACGGCCACTCAACCGTGCTTTGATTTTGAGTTTGTCCAAGTCGATATGTTGCTTCTCTTTTGGAAAAGAAAACATGAGGGCACGGGGAGTTCACTGCATCTTATGTTTTCTCATTCCCCTTCACTGGAAAGGGTTAATTAGATTTATTTTTCAATACATTTACACTGATTTATATTAACAAAAAAAAAACATTAGCTGCACTTCTTACAATTTACACAAGATGGGTTCATGCTTCAAATATATTATAGAATGCAGATGGCATGCAATTTAAGTATTTCCTATTAAAGAAAGAATAGAGAGAGGGTAAAGTCGTAAAGCCCCACCCTTGCTGAATTGCCTTTCCTCTTCTTAAAAAGTCCAAGGTGACAATGAAAGGCAGAAATGAATGAAAGAGATCAATAGCCACCAGTAAGTTCAGGGAAAGGATTAATTTTTCCTATGTACTTCTCAAATCTGGTCTATCTAGATACATATATTAGGGCATGGCATTGTTATTCTTGAATGGACTTTGTAGTGTTTCCATGATCTCGATGAAGGTTGCCTGCTCCTCTTTCAAGTTGATTTACAGTTAAAGCCAGGGGGCAGAGGAAATCTGCAGGACTTTTCTAACCAATTGGACCTGTCAGATTGGATTAGTTGCTTGTGCTGCCCGGCTTAGGCACCCACCAGGCAAGCAGAGAGTGGCCCAGCTGGGTAGAGTCTGTCTCTATCAGCTGAAAACAGCTTGTCCAAGCAATAGAGCTGGCATGCCATATACACCAGACCAAGTTGGGGGAATGATGATAGGACCACCCTTCTAGGTGCTGCTATTGAGGTTCAGGGTGAGTAGGGAGCATTAAGCAGTCTCATTTGGTGAGGTGCGTGTTCAATTATTTATTTTTATTGAATTCATATTCTGCCCTTCCCTCCAAGACCTCAGGTGGTATTTCTAATAATCTCAATTTTGCCTGATAGAAATAGCCCTGCAAGGTAGGTTGGGCTGATAATGCCTGGTCCAATGTTAGCAGTGAGGATGATCAGAGGTAGACTTGAACAGGGGTCC